GCAGCAGTAGCAGCCGGTACAGGGACAGTCAGTCAGCCACTGCTGTGTGTAGGACCAGGCTACTTTCAACTAACATGGGTAGGTCCCTCTACACAACAGCTTCATTTATTCTCTCCATCTTCGGCTTATACTTTGCATTAGGAAAATTGGAGGATTTTATAAATTTGTCTTACTCAATGTGATAGGAATAATTCTTGACTGAAATGTATGTACAATGGACAGGATGTATATTGTATGGCCAAATCACTGCTAATATTATCTCAAACCAACATGTGTAGGTCCTTCTACACAACAATTTCATGTCCCTTATTGGTCTTATACTTAGCATTAGGAAAATTGGAGGATTTTATAAATTTGTCTTAATGAATTTGATAGGAATAATTCTTGACTGAAATGTATGTACAATGGACAGGATGTTATTGTATGGCCAAATCACTGCTAATGTTATCTCAAATATATGAACATGATGAATTGGGTATTTATTGATTCATACCTGCATCATTATTGATGTGTTCATTGTTCACAGTTCAGGGTGTCCTAGGGTACTTGGGGTTTGTTTCAGTAGTAATTGGTTCTAAACATTGCTTTATATTAAATTTTGACACAAAGGTTATGAGTAGGACCCCATGACTTTCATGCCTAATTTTGAACACTGGTATTGATTCCTCTCCCAAACATATGTTTACTAATTGAACAGAGCCAAGTCAGCATAACAATGTGTCCTCTCCATTCCTGACATTCCGGCAACTGCTGTAGTGTGTATTTCCTCCTTGAGTCCACTGCTTCCTACTGATCAACTGCAGGCAGGAACTCGGCGTGTTATACACTGGCCATTCTATTCTACTAGTCATAAGCATTTCTTTTGTGTTTTCATTCATTCCACACTCCCAGAAATACAAGCTTTTGATGATGATCATAAGTGTCTCTTATGTTATGTGTAAAGTTTTGATATAGGGAATCTCACCCGAGTGTCTTTTGATATCAAATATATCAACACTAGTTGATAAAAGTGGAAAAATTCCGAGGCTTGCCGAGGATTTTTGCCACTTTTATCAACAAGTGTTGATATATTTTATATCAATAGACACGAGGATGAGATTTTATTTATCATCCAACATCATTCTTTCAACTTTTTCAATTTGTAGGCAGTAATTAGCAGTGTCTTCAGTGTAAAAAGTACTGAAAACAGCTTCAGTAGCAGAGCCATTAGTGATGTCATTTGATTGTGATGTCATGGTAACCAGTGGCGTCACAATGGTCTGCAAAGCATTTTGATGTAATTTCATTGCAGCGATATCTACAGTGTAGATATCGCTTGATCTCATCCAAGCATATCTTCTTGGGAGCCAGCTTTGGATGATAAATTATATTTACATGGAATTACAATTAAGAGATGTTGAACAAGACTCTGTGCAGCTTTCCTTATTGTTAGGTTGAGATATTCATGACTGTCCTGAATCCTGCATGTTACTATTGATTATGTTTTAATAATCCTTCAAGTTGGGAGCAAACAATTACTTAAAAGAATGATATGTGAGAATATTGACATGATTATTCCAGGGAATGAAATGAATATGGTGCAAGTACATGTTTGTAAGATAAGAAGCAAGGAAATATCTAGTGTGCTTGTGTTCTTTCAGCATGATTAATGCAGACATATGCAAGTTCACCCTGTTATCTTGAATATCAGAATATTGTAGTCAGGCTGGTAATTAATCATTCAGTCATTGAAATCCTACTGCTGAGGTTCAGTCACTGAAATCTGCGTGCCATCAATCAAATGCTAATTTTAGAAACCAGGAAGGAACCTGCGGAAATACACGGATATTTGAAACATTGCCTGCTTCAACACTGAATGCAGGCCAGCAAACTTAACATACACCCATCCCATTACAAATGCAGTTCAAAAGTCCAATTGCAAACATCACGTCTAAGGCCTAATACTAGTGTTTTAGATATTGAATTTCAGACTGATGAACTTAACTCATATAAGCACCTTTCTAAAGTCAAATATCATAGTTTATGTTCCAAGTTGAGCCATGTCCTAAATGGATTCTCTGTGTCTGGTGCTGATTGATGGCATAGGATTATGAACGTTTTTGTATTCTGTAGCTGAAATTTTGTTTCTTCATCATTGATCGAATAAAGGTCACATTGAACCTGATCAGTTCAGAATGTTTGAACAATAGCATTGACTATGATTTTATCCTTTTGTATGTTGTAAGACGTAACAGGGATACTTTCACTGATTGACTTGACCAAGAACTGGTCATCCTTGCCTTCCTACCTTTTTCAATAGTTTCTCATTACACTGATATCACTCACTGTTAGTCCAGGTGTATGTAGCCCACAGCTGCTGTAGACTCCATTTTGTAATCAGGGAGCACTGCCAGGCATGGCTTCTGTCAGTTATGGCATTGTCTCCATGTTTCCTTACTGTTACCAATGTCTCTCTTCCCTGTCCTCTGTCTATAATGTGCTGTCTCACTTGTCCTCTGTTGACTATGAACCAATGTCCTCTGTCTACATAGAGACAGTGTCCACTGTCCTGTGTTTAGAAAACCAGTGTCACATGGCCTGTCACATGTTAAATGTACCTATGTCTCCTGTCTTGTGTCCCTATGATACATGTGTAATGTCCTCCTAGATGGCCTACCTTCCCAGTCCCAGTCCCAGTCCCAGTCCCAGTCCGATGTCCTCAGTGCTTTGTCCCTCGTCCTATGTCCTCTGTTCCTTGTCCCGTGTTCCAGGACTTCTCTCTTACGTTCCTTGTCCTCTGTCCCCAGTCCTATGTTCTTTGTTCTTTGTTCCAGGTCCTCTGTTTCCCTTACATGTCCTCTGTCTCCTGTACTATCTCACCTGTCCTATGTCCTCTGTGCTTTGTCCCTCGTCCTATGTCCTATGTCCCCTGTCCCATTTCCTCCGCCCCATGTTCCAGGCCTTCTCTCTCATGTTCCCTGTCCCCAGTCGTACATTCTTTGTCCCATGTCCTCTGTTCCCCCGTCCTATGATCTGTCCCATGCCCTCTGTCCCTAACTCCCATCCTCTCCCCCATCCTATGTGTATGTGGATGTGTGTACAACACTGTAGCCCCCTCCCACACTGCATGATAATACTCAGTACTGTGGACGGATGATGACATGTTCATAGGGATTATCCAAATAAACAATCATTATGCAAACCAGGAGTGTCTGTGTTATTACTCCACCCCAGTGGACATGGATGGCAAGGGTAGGAATGTGACACGGTGCATGGAATGACATGCACGTTAATCACATTTTTTTACAATAAACATATGCATATGAAAATGAACAACACCCAGAGTGCAATGGGAAACTAGATCATTTACGATAAGCTTAAAATACAACGGTACTGTTTCCCAGAAATATCTTACAAATAAAAAAACATTAGGATGTTGGTGAGACATATCGTCAGTACTTCATGGTGTTGGAGGAATCACCTGTGAATAGATAAGCCGATATGTCTATTTCACATCGAGTCATGAAATCAGGCCTTGTTTAACTCAAGGAAGTCAATGTTTCCAATAGACGGTCGTAAGGCTTTAGTACATGTTGCGCGAGGAATATTGCCGTGTGATGTAACCAGAGTGCTCATTGGCCCAGGCATGTGCTGGAACCAAGTCATGGCTTGATTCATTGATTAAAAATTGCTACCTGATACTACACTGTTTTATGTATTCACATGTTATGGAAAAAACATAATTTATACAATCGTGGAAAGAATTGACAATGGGTAAGATTTCAAATCATTATCAAAATAAGTTCTTTAACACGTAATATCTGCAAAATAAACAAAATACTAGGGCTGAATATATTCAGTGATTGATTTGTTTAAGAAATCTAAAACCATTCATGATGAGATGCACAGCACAGCACTATTTCATACTCCACAAATATGTGTGTCAACCACTTCACCGACTACTCAAGTGTTAAGCAAGCAATAGGCGTGCTAGTTTTACTTACAAATGGTATGCAGAATAGTAAAGCTGGAAGTGTAAGGTAGAGCATAATTAGCACCATGATGAAAGCTGGCCGACTGGTAGCTTCCACATCACTGTAGCAGTATACCAGCTATAACACTGGACTCGATCCACAATGCGTTTGTAGTTTTACAACAGTCGTAAGACCATAGTCCGAAATTATTCCCCCTTATTCTCTAACTTGTAACATTTAGGTTAAGACAAGGAACCCTTGACTGTCATGCTTACTTTTGAAAAACTGTGCTAAACAATTGTGTTACGATGGTCATAGAGCTACATGCACTTTGTGGATCGGGCCCCAGATCATGAAGAACCAGGATCCACATGAACAAGACAGCTTTGGGACTGTTGCAAGTCTGTTATGGTATAGGAGTAACAATAGTCTCACGCAAAGAGCATTCTTTGGGCCCAGATCATTAACTTTGGTCGGGAATGTGAGCATTGCCCACAAACAATTGATGGTTTCACCCGTTTATACTCCACTTCAATATGGCATGGCCAGAGTGAACATATTTCTGTGGGCCCAGATCACTATCTTTGGTCGGGAGTGTGATCATCACCAACAAACAATTGATGGTTTCACCTGACCATACTCCCCTTCAATATGGCATGGACTGTGTGATGTCACCGAGCATAAAGCTTATGAGGTGAAATGGGTTTAACATTGTGTTCAAGATTATTGCACTTATATAGAAGTGCATGCACATTTGTCTGGATGTGTGGCTGCTTCTAAGAGTCTTGATTAATGCTGTTTTTTAGTGGTAGCACATTGAGACAACTGTACCACTTTCTACAACTCAACAGTTTAAGTAACAATTGAGTAATCAACAGTTCAAGACACATAGCACTACACGTATTACATAATTTCCAGGAGGGAAAACAACTGGGTACAATGTGGAGCCCAATAAAAACAAAATAGCCCTGTGATATACAAGATTCATATTCAATGTTCTGTTAAGGCTATATCTATCAGCCCCTGACACTGAATATTCTGTTACAGCTGAGGACAAGCACCGACAGAACTACATCAATGAGCTCATCAGCACGGAGGAGTCCTACATGGCGGACATGTCCATTGTGTCCGAGGTCAGTATGAAATCATTGACATACATTTAAGCCTAGAAAGTCTCTGTTCTAGTGAAAGAAGACATTGTGTATGCAGGCAGGCTTAGTTGAACGGGAATATTATCTTTCCGTCCATCCTTCTGTCTCTCACGTTTTAATTCCCGAGCATAACACCAAGATCGTTCAATACATTTTGTTCACTGAGAATAACTGAAAGACCATTTTTATTTTCCAGTTTTCCTGACAAGAAATTGTACTTAGCTTCATATTAGGTTAAAGTTTGTTTCCAGAGCATAACTCAATATTTTTTTATCAAATTTTGAAGTATGTCCTTGAAAATAGATATGTCAAAAGTAAAACTTCATAGACACCAAAAATGGTAAACGACAATACAAATCATTGACATCATTCAGCGCAATAATCCAATAAAAGCCCCGCCCATTCTGTTATCAGCCAATCAGGAGACAGTATTCCATTAGTGGGCTAATTATTTTTGTAAATGCAAATGAAAGTCATGGAATCACTGCAATTTACTTCCTTACTGCAGGCCTTCATCCAGCCGCTGCAGAACTCCAAGGTTCTGACGGATGAGGAGCTACACAACGTCTTCGTCAACTGGCGCGAACTGATCGTCTGTAATATGAAGTTACTCAAGTAAGTCCATACATGATGTAAGGTGTGATTGCGATTGCAATGATTATGTACTAGGGTGAAAATGATGTCATGGCCAATGGAAATCTAAGTAGGTACAAAATTATAAAACCATATCTTAGGTCCCACCAGACACTAGCCTAACACCATGTTTCTTTAAATTATCTATGTACATGGGAGCAATGGCAAAACGTTTTCGCATAAGTTGGCATGGAAGCAAAACTTACTTTGAAAAGAAATGGTTTGAGCAACATTTGGAAAAGCTGTCGGTAGGTTAGTCCAGACAAAGTTTGTCATCCTACACCTTTTTATATAGGAGAAAATAGCGGGGAAAAGTTCCAGCAGGCCCAAACTGTCCAGGCCAGCATTTTTACCAATTGGACTAGTCTGTCAGTTACCCCTTGCCATGACAGCCTTTATAGTCATTGTTTTGGCTGTCAAGGCGAGAGCAAGGTATCAACAGCATTTGAAAGAAGGGACGATGTCTTTTAATGGACGATTTAAAAAGGTGTCCTACACGATGTTTCCTTTTATCTCTTTTTCACAGAATCTTTTGCAGCAATTATTTTTAATACACTATAGATATTTGTACCAAATTAAGGATGAAGTGTTACATAATTGGAAGTCTGCATAAGTCAGGTGCGCTAAGGAGCCTTGTGGCTCTATGGTTGCGTACCCCATTGCTTCAGGAGTGAGGATGTCAATTGTTGGTAGTGTTTCAAACTGCAGCGAAGCCCAAGCTTTTGTCAACTGACAAAAAAAACCCAGACAGCTTCTGGGCAATTGGGGTCCAAAATAAACTTAATAAATAAATTCATGTCATCTGCTGCATAATTTGACGATGTATGATGTTTGTTGCAGTGGGTTGAAGGTTCGGAAGAAGATGTCAGGGAAAGGCAAGCCAATTTCAATGATAGGAGATCTTCTATGTGAAAATGTAAGTTTCATAGATATTTCATACATCAGTGTAAATCAATGGTAAATTATGATGAAAATAACGGTAAATTCACTGCCCATTACACCAGATTTTGCCACGATGTGTAAGGCAGTGTGTACATGAACATGGTGTGTGGCGTGATCATGGTGATGCTGTGTGTGTTTCAGCTTCCCCACATGACCGTCTACGTCCGATTCTGCAGCTGCCAGCTGTCTGCAGCCGCTCTCATACAGAGGAAGACGGAACACAGCCCTGAGTTTGTGGAGACTCACAAGGTGACGTCAGGCGACACATCGCCCTATCTCAACACGTGTCTGTGATGGTGTATAATACATGATGAAACAGAGGACAGTGTTGTGTAGAGTAATATTTCCATAACAAACTTTAAAGGGCACTGGAATGCAGAATTTCATCTGTTAGGCATTCCAGAAACCTGGGATACTGGGTTTGAATATTGGTATGCTCTGATTGTGTTTCAAGGTATGTCAGCCCCAACCTGTGCTCATGGAATTTCGCAAAATTTGTAAACATCTAAGACCTGCATCACTACGGGGCATAAGTCTTGTGGCTAACACAAACCTGGGGCCCTTTCCACAAATCTATGATGATTCTTGAATACTTCCATACTTGAACATAGGCCCATGATAGTTAATAGTGCTAAAGGCTGTGAAGATCCGGGGTAGAATAGGTCTTCAGCAACCCATGCTTGCTGTAAAAGGCAACTATGCCTGTTGTAAGAGGCGACTAACTGGATCGGGTGGTCAGGCTCGCTGACTTGGTTGATGCATGTCATCAATCCCAATTGAGTGGATCCATGCTCATGTTGTCAATCACTGTAATGTCTGGTCCAGACTTGATTACTTACAGACCGCCATCATATAGCTGGAATATTGCTGAGTGAGGCGTTAAACAACAAACAAATAATAGTGCTAACATTACTTGTCTCATTGAATCCTGTTGGGGAGGTGAGCTCCAGTACCTTGGTCCTCTATTTCTGACTTTCCTTCACCTATGTCTTCAGAGGTGTCTACATGATCCCAGGACAAAGAACATGCCTCTCAGTAGCTTCCTGTTGAAGCCTATGCAGAGAATAACAAAATACCCCCTCATGATCAAGGAGGTAAGTGCCGCCAGCAATGCAGGTACTGGTCTGATAGGGGAGGGTTGGGTCACCTGGTGGCAAAGTGTTGGCTCATCAGGCCAAGTACAGGGTTCTGTTCACCATGGGTTCACTATTTAACATAGATTTTGATAAGTGATGGTTAGGTCACCTGGCGGTTAAGTGTTGGCTCACCAGGCCAAGTACAGGGTTCTGTTCACCATGGGTTCACCGTTTAACATAGATTTTGATTTAGGATGTCTGGGAAAATTGGTGGTTAAAGTGTTGGCTTGTTACTATGCATATGGTGTACATGTATTCAGAGACCCGTGAAAATCTGGGGTAGAGTAGGTCTTCAGCAACCCATGCTTGTCGCAACAGGCGACTATGCTTGTCGTAAAAGGCAACTAGTGGGATCAGGTGGTCAGGCTTGCTAACTTGGTTGATGCATGTCATCGTATCCCAATTGCATGGATCGATGCTCATGATGTCAATCACTGGATTGTCTGGTCTAGACTTGATTATTTACAAACCACCGTAATATAGCTGGAATATTGCTGAGTGAGACGTTAAAAAATAAACAAAACATATGTTCAGAATATTTTATGATGACATACATTGACCTGCTAAACAGTTGTGAAACATCAGGTGAGAAAGGCCACAAATAGATTTATCTGAAAATTTGATACTCTGTGCTTACAACTAAGAAATATTTCAGCAATCTTTTATGAAATATTTTTCTGCATTCATACAGATCATAAAGTACACCCCTCCTGAACACCCTGACCACCAGAATCTGGTGGATGCTCTGGCCAAGGCGGAGGAGTTGTGTACGCAGGTCAACGAGGGCGTTCGGGAGAAGGAAAACTCTGAGAGGTTGGAATGGTTGCAGAATCACGTCCACTGTGACGGCCTGTCTGAAGTGAGTGGGAATATTTTTGTTTGTTTGTTTGTGCTTTAATGCTGCACTCAGCAATATTCGAGCAATATGAAGGCATTTTGTAAAAAATCACACATGGACTAGACAATCCTGTGATCGACATCATGAGATATGATGACATGCATCAACTACCGGGCGGTAAGTCACGGTGTCATACCAAAAGATGGTACTTGTTGTTACCCTGCCTGGCATTTGACATTAAGGGGCTGAAACAAGGACTGGTTGGAACGTAGTCCGTATATTGTATCCGAGTGGGGTATTCATCTTAAACTGCGTCATGGTATCTCAGTGAGCATCAGTCCTGCCTAGTACAAGCAGCGACACACACACCACACACACACCACACACACACACGTGCATGCATATAAATGCAATAATCTTGAACGCAACACTAAACACTTCACCTTATCTCACCTTTCATAATTGTTATGTGAACAGGAGGCAATATTTTGCGTCTGGTAAAACCCAGAGATACTGTTTGTATGCCAACACTTCCAAGAAATCAGTCTTGTTCAGTTCCAACTTGGGCACTCAGAATGTCCCTATCAAATGTTGAGTAGTATATATGGGAAGTGATTGCTCTCATCCCTTGATCATTCTGTTGGTGTGTTCTTGTCCAGTGTGTCAAGCCAGTGCAGGAGAGAGAGGTCAGACGGTAATAAACATGCAAGGAAGCTATGCATGCTCCAATCTCATTAAAATAAAATCTTAGTTCTCGCTACCGCTAAACAAAGATCTGAGGACACCTCATTACGGGTCACGTCAGACCGACCTGGCACAAACTTTGACCGACCAATGGAATGACTGACAAGAAGTCGACATTAGCCAATCAGAAGGCAGCTTTCTCGTGCTTTACGGCACTAATTTCAAATTGGCGGCTACGGTTTGAAACATATTTTGTCAAATTCTCGATTAAAAATTTGAATCCTGAACAAAAGAACAATCTTGAATGGCTAATAGATGGTCTAGATTGCATAGATTCAGTCGTTAAGTCCGTAACTATCGTTCGGAATACCCCGTATTAAAGTTTTCGAGGTTGCATGATTAGAAATTAAATTCCAACTGTCACTTTCAGGATCTGGTAAGCAACGCTCTGATTGGCCGGATGAAAGGTCGTTCTGAAGTAACACCTAATGGGATGTCCTCAGATCGTTGTTTTGTGGTAGCGAGAACTAAGATCTGATTTTAATGAGATTGTGCATGCTCCTGTAGTAAATGTATTTGCAAATATCTGTCAAAAGTATTCTGTTTTCTTTCAGAGAATAATATTTAATGGAGTTACAAACTGCCTAGGAAGACGGCGTCTTGTACACTCTGGTATCCTTTACAAAGTAAGTTCTTGGAAAACCTTTTTAAGAAACTGATCAGAATGCTTTCTTTGCGATTTGTGGCCAAGTCAAGTGTTGGCCTCCGTGATTGTGTATATTTTCTGTCCTTCAACAGTCCTACATTGCCATTGTATGTTTGGAGTTGAAGACACAACGCAGTGTATTGTAGAAACATCCAATACTCTTCCCATCTGTGGTTTCATTGCGTGATGAACAGCGCGGGGGACAGAGTGTCTGGTCTGATGTGCGTCCTCAGGAAGACAGTGAGATGCATAACTTAACTGTAAAAATGTAAATGTAGCATAGAGATTGTTGTTATGCATTCTTCTGATGCATTCCCTTATCCTACATGTGTAGTTCTACTGTCATGTGCAACCAGTATTCATGAAACATACAAAATACATGTCCAGTAGACGTGTTAAAATATATATAAATATTTTTCCTCAACCTCAGCTGTAATGTGCTGTCTGAAAGTGGATTAAAAAAACCGATCTCCACAGACCAAGAGTAACCCCTTTTCCTACACAGATAAAGAGTAACACCCCTTTCCCTCCACAGACAAATAACACCCTCTTCCTCCCTGACGAATCGTAACCCCCTCTTCCTCTCTGACAAATCGTAACACCCTCTTCCTCCCTGATAAATAGTAACACCCTGTTCTCCCTGACAAATCGTAACCCCCTCTTCTCTTCCTCCCTGACAAATAGTAACACCCTGTTCCTCCCTGACAAATCGTAACACCCTCTTCCCCCCTGATAAATAGGAACACCCTGTTCCTCCCTGACAAATAGTAACACCCCTCTCCTCTTCCTCCCAGACAAATAGTAACACCCTCTTCCTTCCTGACAAATCGTAACACCCTCTTCCTCTCTGACAAATCGTAACACCCTCTTCCCCCCTGATAAATAGGAACACCCTGTTCCTCCCTGACAAATAGTAACACCCCTCTCCTCTTCCTCCCAGACAAATAGGAACACCCTGTTCCTCCCTGACAAATAGTAACACCCCTCTTCTCTTCCTCCCAGACCAAGAGTAACAAGGAGCTGTTGTGTTTCCTCTTCAATGACTTCATGCTGCTCACACTGCCGTCCCGGCCGCTGGGCAGCAACTCCTCGCTCCGCTACATCTGTGATCCCAAGTCTACACTCAACTTTAAAATGTACAAAACGGTACGTAGTCCCCCCCTCGATTACAGATGTACACACGTCAAGGTATGTTTGTTGGTCACTGTAGGAGAATGCATTACCCGGCCGACCGTGAAGAACTGTCAGTTTGAAGTCAGGTGATGTTATGAGTCATAGTACCTGATAAATCACATTACCAGGTGCTACATCAGCAATACATTTTCAGATGACCTGCTCAATACAGTTTCCTACACACAGTCCAACGATAACTAGATGTCGACACACATATTTATAGTATTGAAGATAACAAACTCATCCTGTTCACCAGTGATTGCTTGAAGGTTCAACAAATAGTTCTCAGCTAACACTAACACTAACACTGAAACAACCCAGATGAAAAACACTTGCGGTGATGTTGCGTTAACATATCCCATGATTTCGCGTTAACATATCCATGTTTGCTGTGTCAATGCAATCGTCCATATGTAATCGTGTTCCTTTCTTCCCCAGCCTATAGTGTTGAACGAGGCAATCCTCATCAAGTCGACTGACGCAGACAGCGACCCCTGCCAGTTCCAGATCAGATATGACTTCGACCGAGTTCTCAATCTCAAGGCAGTCAATGAAACAGAAAAGTAAATATGCTATCTGTGTTAATTTTGAGGCCTGTCACCACTGTACATAACTAACCTGTGCTGTGTGCTGTGTTCGGCTAAGGGAGACAACTCCAAATTGGTTATACTACACAGATGAATGAGTCATCCGTCACCACACACCCATAACCTGCAGGAAGATGTGCATATGTCTTCATGTACTTCGGTCAAAGAATCCCTCAGGAATAAATTTTAACTTTACATATATTTTGCCTTTAAAAAATATACCAAAGATACAGTTAAATGTGTTCAGAAATAGCATCTAGAATATATATGATATATCGGGGAAGTATACGTGAACATTACACAATGAGTATACAATTCTTTTAGCCATGCCCGTTTGCACTTAGACGGAACCCAGTCACAAAAATGGCCACGGGAGGGCACTAGTCGCTATGTGGCTTGTCGCGGAATAACACAAGTTAGTCACGAATGATGAATGAGTGTGATGGCTTACCATCACACTGTAGATGGTACACACTGTAGATGACTGTAACGTTGTTGATGCATCATGTCCTTGTATATCTCTCTCTTATTAATGATTGTGTGTCAATCTTTCAGGGATCTCTGGATTCGGGAGATTGAAGGAGCATCCAGGCAGTATCTAGACACAGAAAAGAAGAAGAAGGAGCGCCAACACTCAAGTAAGTCTACACTTCTCACTCTCAGTGTACCTTGGGAAATCACAGTATGGGGATGCAGCAATGTTATGATGATGTTGATGATGATGTTGATATGATCAACATGTTTGAAGTATACATTGTGCATCAATTACTACCGAGCATGAGCCTTTAGTATAAACTATTTCTGTGGCCTAGTGGATGGAGCATCTGGCCAGAGAACAGAAGGTCGGTGATTTGATACCTGGCCGTGTCATACCAAAAGATGTTAAACACTTGTTGGTGCTTGGCATTAAGAGGCTAAAACAAGGACTGGTCGGCTCGGAGTCAGTATACTGTGTCTGTGTGGGATAACCATGTTAAACTGTGGCATGGTATCTCAGTGGCCTAGCACTATGAAACCAGCATAAGTCCTAACAGCCACACATACATAACAAATGTGCATGCATGTCACTATATAAGTGCAATAATCTTGATTGTGACGTTTAACCCCATTTCACCTCACCCAATTAGTGTAATTAGTTCATATTGACAATTGTGGATCAGCCAGGGGTTATGAAGTTTGTGTAGGAAGTCCAGATGGGGTAGTAAGTGTTTTTTTGTATTGTTAATTAATTCCATGTTATATTTCAAAGTTTAGTTCTAAACATTCCTTGAAAGCTCCATACCTATTCATTATGATACTGACACTTGCTCAATATTGCCTTGCTCTCGACCATATGGTGGCATATATTTTCTTTATGTAAGTTCACTATGAAATAATTGCTCACATTAAGTATTGAATTATATATATGCAGCTTAATATCTAAACAAGCATTATTTAACAATGATAACTCTGTTCTAACCTCATTTTCTCTAACACACTTTGAAGCATGATATAATTGATATCAACCGTGATATTTAAGAGAATCCTAATGTCTTTTACATCATATTGCTTGAATCTTCATCTGATTATCTGAACACTCTCTATGACAATAGTAGCTCAACTTCGCTCCCGCCCAGTCGGACGCCTGCTTGTCATCATCCTAGAGGGCATCGGCCTCAAGTCCACGAGTGACGGTGGTAAGGCTGCAGCATGGACGTGTTTCATTTCAGTGACAGCATGGCATCCTCCTCATCGTACCCGACAGCTGTTGCATGGCTAGCAGTTCCTTTCATTTTCAGTTGTAGCAGAAGCACGTCAGATTTAGTTCAAACCCCAATGGACAAATAACCTTCTGACAGAGCTGTGAATGAAAGTGTTGCACACTGGTCAACCATTAATATATAGATGGCATGTTTTTCATATCAGTCTAGTTGGTCTGTTATAACTTGACTTCTTGAAACTTTCTTGCTATGACCTATGTCTTGGTATGAGGCTTGCATGGGTACTGGCTACTACATGCTTACATCTATATATAAGCTTAGGAAACATGTTTGTTCATTGGGTTGTATTAATACCAGATTTTATTTTTGTTTCCTGTATGATGTATTTTCACACTGGTGCTCCTCTGTCTGTCAACACTTCAGTGCTGTAGCATGTCCAGACCCATCATAGGGCCACTTATCCACTCTCACCATTCACCATGAATCTGAGGTCGAAAACTAACCTTTGACCCCAACCTTTGACTCGTTTCAAACAATCAGCTTTTGACCCCATTCATTTTAAACATGCAGCCATTGACCCCAGTGAGAACGAAACTGTTCATCATAAACGAACGGCCATTGACCCTAGAGAGAACAATAGTGTTCATCTAAAACAATCGGCCATTGACCCCCAAAAGAACGAAACTTATTTATCTAAAACAATCGGCCATTGACCGCTGAAAGAATGAAACTGTTCATATAAAACGATCAGCCATGGTCCCCAGAGAGACGAAACTGTTCATCTTATACAGTCGGCCATAGACACCAGAGACTTAAGAGAGAACAAAAAACTGTTCATGTTAATCAAGAGAACTGGTAACATTAGATTTCCCATAAATTTATAGTCTGACATACATAATACAAACTGAATAACTCGACAGTGAATGTTGGTTGTTAATAATTGTTAAATTTGCATGGACTGACAAATGACTCCAGCCTAGCCCCCCTTAATAATGTCCTTTATCTTGAAATATATATTCTGTATAAAAACAGTTTTATTTCATGAATTATTAGAGGAGCATTTGGATTGGCTACTATGTTACACCAGATGTTTTCAATCGCTGCATGTTTTCTAGGGGAGTGATTGAGTGATATATCTTAATGTCCCCATACCAAAGATTCCACTAGGGGCATAAGGCTGTGTTGGAAGCTGTGAGTCCCAGACAACTGAGGCAGGAAGAGACGACAGATAGAGGAGTGTCAGTATGGTAGCTAGGTTACAGGTCTCAGTTCACATCACGCCATCAGAGAGCGCTACCACCTAGCAGCCTTATATGGTGTTGTCATATCATCTGTACCTGCACATCAGTGGCTAATGTTATGTCGGAAACTTAACAAGAAATAGAACATTGTTTATCCAAGGCTGTTTTCAAATTGTGACACTCTTGATAGCCTTTGATTGATTTAATTCAAATCATTCTTGCAAAATTCCTGGCTAAGATCATTAATCAAATATTTACAGAGACTTTAAGATTTGGGTCTTTTGGGTTGTTAAATCACCATAAAGTCTCTGATGGACAGAACAAATTGCCACAGAACAAACTATTCTCATTTCATAGTATTCATCCGTACTCCATGTCTGTGGTCTCACGTTAACAATGTCCGACCTGACAGTGCATATTGGTGTGTGGTGCCATGTGATGTGACCGCCCAACCCTGCTGGGTGTGCCCGGCCCGCCCCCTCCTCCCTTGTATAACATTGCATGACCTGTCTGTCATCTGTACATCAGTGCGCAAGTCCCCTGGGGTTGGCAGGCTGCTCGTCGTCATACAGGAAGCTGTTAACCTCCGAGCCAGCGACAGTAATGGTAGGACCATCTCAGCAAAGACTTACCACATCCAATCTCCACTAGGTCAAAGGTTACAGGTTGACATATGTCATAGGCATATATGGCACTCAAATGTTACACTTGACACATCCTGTTCATGACAGCAAGCATTCTTGGGGAACAGTAAGGGTGCAAGATCAGATTTGCATGTTCTAACAGAGAACTTTTCATCTTCACATGTACATTTAATCAGGAGCGACTCACAGAGCCCTGATTCTGCTCAAGATCCTAGAGCACTATGTGAAGGTGACACAGTGTTGCCCTTCTGACACATGCTGGCACTTTGCATCTTATACTTCGCATCCCAGCATCACAGATTCACCCCGATTCCTGTGTTCTGGTAAACATCTGAGAGCTGCATCTGTTCAGGCTTTCCTCCCACATCTAGCTCCCATTCTGTGATATAATTAAAATACTGTTCAAGGTGTTATACCCATGACTCGCTCACTTGTAGGTTATTCCTTGCATCAAAATGATTTTGTGTAGAGACAGATTCTTTTGTGGTATGTTGTCTGTTTTAGTTTTCCCAGAGGGATAAATGCCATATTTGAGAATTTTTTGACCCAGTGTCAAATATATGACATTAAAAAATCCAACAAAATATACCATGGAAATCTGATCTTACACTTTTATAAAAATTATAGACCATTTTATATATGAAACTTGCATGACCTTGTGGTGCCTGGTGACATTCACTTCTCTGCTAAGTGTGACCTGATGTGTTGTGCTCAAAGTGAGTAGTATGTGCCTGGTACACTGTAGGGCCTTCACCTCTGTACTAAGCATGACCTGATGGATGGAGTGTCTCCATGTAGAATACCTGATACACTGTAGTGGGCAGACCTTGCTGTTCCTGGTACACTGTAGGTCCTTCACCTCTGTACTAAGCATGACCTGATGTGTGGAGTGTCTCCGTGTAGTATACCTGATACACTGTAGGTGGCAGACCTTGCTGTCCACTTGCTCATGTACGTCTGTGCACCATTGTTCAGTTGTAGAGAGAAACATGAAGTAACAATTCAATGACATTATTCTTTGTAACTTCACTTTTCATTCTATGAACCATAAGAGAAGAAAGCAAGTACAGATAAAATAAATTTGAATTATTCGCTTTAAAAGTCATTGTTCATTGTCACACATAAATATGCAAGAAGTAAAGGAACTCCTGATTCTCTTGCTATAGTTTTATTACTGTCATGGTATGTGTTTGCTACTTGTGAACTCGAGATACATGTATTACTTGTATCACTAGCTGGGTGTACCTTCTGTCTCATGGTGTACAATCCCATTCAGCTCGTAAAGTCCTGTATACCCTGCTAGTGACACATGTGACCTACAGTATGACCCTGCTAGTGACACATGTGACCTACAGTATGACCCTGCTAGTGACACATGGGACCTACAGTATGGCACTGCTAGTGACACATGTAACCTACAGTATGACCCTGCTAGTGACACATGTACCCTACGGTATGACCCTGCTAGTGACACATGTAAGCTACAGTATGACCCTGCTAGTGACACATGTAACCTACGGTAGGACCCTGCTAGTGACACATGTAACCTACGGTAGGACCCTGCCAGTGACACATGTAACCTACGGTATGACCCGGCTAGTGACACATGTAACCTATGGTATGACCCTGCCAGTGACACATGTAACCTACGGTATGACCCGGCTAGTGACACATGTAACCTATGGTATGACCCTGCCAGTGACACATGTAACCTATGGTATGACCCTGCTAGTGACACATGTAACCTACGGTAGGACCCTGCTAGTGACACATGTAACCTATGGTATGACCCTGCCAGTGACACATGTAACCTACGGTATGACCCTGCTAGTGACACATGTAACCTACGGTATGACCCGGCTAGTGACACATGTAACCTATGGTATGACCCTGCCAGTGACACATGTAACCTACGGTATGACCCTGCCAGTGACACATGTAAGCTACGGTATGACTCTGCTAGTGACACATGTAACCTATGGTATGACCCTGCCAGTTACACACATAACCTACAGTATGACCCTGCTGGTGACACATGTGACCTTTGGTATGACCCTGCTAGTGACACATGTAACGTATGGTATGACCCTGCCAGTGACACATGTAAGCTACGGTTTGACTCTGCTAGTGACACATGTAACCTAAGGTATGACCCTGCCAGTGACACATGTAAGCTACGGTTTGACTCTGCTAGTGACACATGTAACCTACGGTATGGCCCTGCTAGTGACACATGTAACCTACGGTATGGCCCTGCTAGTGACGGTATGATATGACCATGTGTTCCTTCCCTGCAGGTAAGAGTGACCCGTACTGCGAGGTGAGCATGGGGAGTCAGGAGCACCGCACCAAGGTGATCCAGGGCACGCTCAACCCCAAGTGGAACCACTCCATGCAGTTCACCATCAAGGACCTGGAGCAGGACGTCCTCTGCCTCACTGTGTACGACCGGGACATCTTCTCCCCTAACGGTAGGATGTCAGGATATTTCCCTGTGGCCAACATTTCACTTTTGGATTTTCTGGTATCCATCTCATCTTCCAACAGTTCCTTCTTTGAGCAATGTTTATAAAGGGTCTAGGCTCTGTGGTCAGATGCCCATCTACAACCTGGGTGAGACATTTTCATGAGTGAGTGCCATGTGAGACATTAAGACATTGTCTTATCACTGAGTCAGAATAATAAGCAACTGCTAGATTAACCAAATATATATTATAAACAGGTAGCTGATAAACATATGTAGGTTAAGAAGGACTTGTATCAAACTTGATTGGCCTGAGCCCATTTCCAATCTCAGCTGGTATTCATCTTGCCTTTTGAAAGACTGCAGGTAGATTAAACAGGCCAAAGGTAAAGAGCCTTTCAGTCTGATATGTTGCAGTTGTTTCCTTCAGACTTTACAAATGTGTCAAGGACTCAAGTTAAGCTCCAGACTAAATTCATGACTTCAGAACTTTTTAGTTTCCCCAGTTCATCAAAAGTACATATCCTTAGCACATCCGCCATGTTTTCTTGAGAGGACAACCAGATTGTATTTAAAGGTAATGAAAATTTTGCCACCATGCCATTATAAACATGCTGCTTCATACGTTTTGGCCAACACACAGGAAACCTGCAATTCATGAGATACGGCTTTCGCTGGGCTATTCACACAATTATGCCTTTTTGACATAGATAATGTTTGAATTTATTAATCTATAAAATATGACTAAATCTTCATAATTGTCTGGCACTCTTCGGAGGAAGAGGGTCTGGTGTTTTGAGAGCTAAAATTTTATTACGTTTAATTCCAAATTGGTTACTCTCTCTTAAAGATATTCCAGTGTTTTGAAACCTGCAAAATCAATGCATTTCAATACGTTTTGGCCATGGAAAGGTAAATCTACACGGGTTATCGCTTTTACATGACGATGTACACAAGGTTAATGACATCATGATAAAACAATGTTGTTATCGTGAAATAAACCGAGCCTCGTTCTTCATTGTTCTTTGCGATTTATTGTATAACTATCCTATATTTGCAAATTAGTGATGTACCCATATTATTACTTGATACAATATAAGCTTCAATGCTATGGAATCGTCCCAGGTCTTATCTACACTTGTTCACCAAACGATATTCATGCAGCCTCTCATGTATAATTCTTTTCTTTAGACTTCCTGGGACGGACAGAGATCCAAGTGAAAGAGGTGTTATGCAGTTCCAGTCGGAAGGGGCCGATCACCAAGAAGCTTCCTCTGTATGAAGTTAATTCAGGGGAGGTAATCGTGAAACTGGATCTACAGCTGTACAACAGCTGAAAGTCCCTACTGGACACGGGGGTGTTTTAGTTATGCAGAGTCTTATACAGTATATCGGACCTCGGAGAACAGACTAGAGAGTAGACCTGTCAGGTAGCCTGCCAATAGATCACAAGTACAAACCTGTAGCATCAGCGATTTGGTGTGCCATGGGAGAATAAATAATATTGAGAGTGTTTCCCATGGTTATTTTAATCTTCATCTTCGCAGGATTGAGAAGTGTGTTGGATCCTGTTTTATGATCGGTGCAGTGAGCACCTGTGCAATCTGTGAACCACCAGTCGGACAGAACAGCTTTTCTGCTCACTTTCTGTGCTGCAAACTCAGTGGACGTCAAGTTTTATTTCTTTTTGATTGTTATCGATACGATTATGGTAACCCTAATAGATGTCATCCTCATCATCATCATCCTCATCATCAACATCATCATCATCATTATCGTCGTCATCATTCTCATCATCATCATCATCATCATCATCATCATCATCATCATCCTCCCTACTATCACCAGCAGGCCGTTCTCTATCCTTGTACATGCTGGTGATGAAATGCTCATCTTATGAGTATATTATCTCATCATTATCATCATTGTCATTGTCATCTCAATCCTCCTCCTCCTCCTCCTCTTTATCATCATCAGCAGCAGCAGCAGCAGCAGTAGCAGTGGCTTCATCTTGAGCAAGTCGTCAGAATCATCATCATCATCATCATCATCATCAACAACAGCATCTTCCTCCTCCTCATGATAATGAAAGCACATTGCCTGTGCTTGTCACGCTGCATCCTGTCCTGGACGACAATACTGCTGCAATATTCATCAGGAGGGCCTTACACTAGCAGAGGCTCATTTCTACGGAGTTACTTCCCCTGCTTATGTTGCAGGTACAAGTGTCTCTACCTGACACATGTATGAAAACTAAAGTACTCACGGAAATGGAAAAAAACTGCTTTTTCGATCTCAGGTTTTAAATAAATGCAGTTAATATACAAAAAATATAAATATTCAAACAACTCAATTAGTACTAATTGGGCCTTGGCACAAGTACAGCGTATCAAAGGTTTTTATGTCTTGTTACACGTAAAAGTGTGTAAAAATATGAACAAAACAGACTATTGTGAAACTGAGCATAACCAGGTGTTAGTAGATCAAGGTGAATGTCCATGACCTATGACACCTTGATGACAGGTGAAAACAGGTGCTTGAAACCCACGTGCATGTGATTTGTCAGTGGTTAGTGATTTGTGAGTGGCATTGTGAGATAGTGAATCATCGTGAAAATATCAGAACGTAAAAGTAACATATTCCCTTCTCAAACAACAACTTACATGTCATTATTATTATGTACATAAACATAGCTGTTATTTTTATTGTTGTTTTGATAACTTTTTTCCAGGCTAATTTGCCTGTTTCTGCCATGTCAATTTGGACTTAGTTTTATTTTTGAATGTTGAAAGTGCCTACAAATTACCTCCTGTAAAGTACATTTTGTATTGAGCACTGAGATAAAACTAGCAAATCCAGACTAGTACTTTTCCAGTTGTTTTGTTATTTCGTATTTACATCTATGTAATGCTTTGTGTCGATTATTAAATCCAGCAAAACAGTTTTTTTTCATTTCCATGACTACTTTAGGTTTGATGGCATGTTGACACAGTGGTCAATGGTGGTACAAGTATTTGTGGCAGTCATGTACATATGTCTGCAGATGTTTCTTTTGTGTTGATCATCATCAAATGGATCAAATTAATCTCAAAAGATTGTTATGTCAGTACCTCACTGAGTAGATTAGTTCAACGGTAACCATGGCTACAGTTTCAGGAGTATGATGGGTACCAGGTAATAGTAGGATAATATACAATGTCTCCATGAATTAGTGCTGGAACACTGATCCAGGAGGATACTCAACTCGAAAATGCCTGATTGTAAAATACCGCAATATTCAGTAGAAGTGAGAAATATTTGCAGTAGATCACTATCTATGCTTCTGGTCATGCAAAACAGGTGCTCTATATAACGACCAAGTGTAAACATCAGTCTCTACTAACCCAACACACACTGACTGGATCGCAGACTATGCAACTTTGTTCAATATGTTTAGGTTTTGAGTTGAAATGGTTTTGCTAGTCATAGGTTCATTGATGACATCATCCTTGTTCATTGCTATGAGGTGAGCATGGGGGACCCAGTTGTCAAAGTCACAGCAATTCGCTGTGCAGAGTTGCATCCCTTGGCCCTGCCAGAAATCAAACATCACAGGTTCAAATCCAGATTTTCATACCCTTGCTTGTGGGTTTTTCACCAAAGTGGTAAACGTCTAACATGTGCATCACTTTGGGCTTTCCTCCCACATCAAGCGGACATGTCAGGATATGACTGTAATAGGGTTCTAAGCAGCGTTAACCCAACTCTCTCACACACTCTCTACGCATAGCTATTCAATTCTAGCTGTCACTTACATCAGCTAGGGACCCAGTCCATGTTAAATGTGTCAGTTTAACCCAAGGAGGATTCCAGAAACATTGAAAATTGAGTGGGGAGGGCAAAATTATAGTTCTGCAACATATATGTAATTTTGGATGGAAAAGTGACTGTCAGTTATCTTTATGATTTTCAACAATTGTGGACCCCCAGGAACTGCCTGTGTTCTCACTGTCCTGAGTCCTGGGTCTCCTGCTAAACAAACTAAAGAAAAGTCACAACCTGACTATTGGACCGACCCATGGTTGTGATCTTCTTGGCTCTATGATTGTGGAACAGGGCACTGGAGGACAGGTAGCACATTTCTAATGGTGCCTCACAATTTCTGTAGCACAAACTTTCCTGCATTCTATTTATGTTCTACCTATATCTGTCAGTGTGTATGTCTTATTTATGAATCTTTATCCCAAATTTGGATAATGACGGTTATAATCTCAGTACCCCGGGTAAATGAATTTCTGTATGTACTCTGTTATGTTATTTTATTGGACTATGAAAGCAATCACAGAAATGATTCTATCGTCATCATTGTCATCCACATCCTCGTCATCAATGTCATCGTTACCTGGTCATCATCTCCATCGTTTACTTGTCAAGTACATATTAATTACTCCTATTGTCAACACTTATTGTCAAAAGTATTTATGGGAAGTTGTTTAAATGTAGTTATTTTCCAACTCCATTGATTTTGTATTCTCTCGGTTTTCAACCACATCAGAACTAGTATGTCATCCATAATTTGCTTCCTTAAATGTGATGTAATTCATAGCTGAGGTTGTGGGTGGCCCAGTTGTCTTAGGCATTGCACTTCACTGTGCAGAGATGCGTCCCTAGGCACGCAAGAACCCTAGGTTCGTGGGTTTGAATTTCAATTCGCCTGATTCTATTTTAGGTTTGTTAGCGCCATACCCGTGCTCGTGTTTTTTACCAAAGTAGTAAACGTCAAATACCTCCATCACTTTTTTCTGTGTCAAGCCGACACCATAACATTACTAAAATACTGTCTAAGACAGCCTTAAACTAAACTCACTCACTCCTTGACAGCTTTCTGACACCCCACATGGTATTTCAAGGAGAATAAAACTTATGTTTTGCTCATATGTGACAGCTGTCAGTGACTACTTAATAACTCCATGGGGAAAAGACTTTTGAAGAAATATATAATTGTTTTGCTTTTCTATAGGTAACACAGTAATATTTGTATATAAGAAATTAGGCAAGACCAGGTTGTGTTCTTGTCTTTTTAGCCAACAATGAATAATGAATTTGAAAAGTCCTAAGCCAACCAAATTCTGTATTAGATGATACTTTTCTAACATTTTTGTGGTTCATATTCTTGTTACTTACAAGAATTGTAGGAAATCAATTCAATTTTCATTAAAAAAAAAACAAGCCATGAAATTTATCTCCCAAAGAGTAATAATCATTTTATTGTAAAAAATCCCCCAAATGTGAATCTGTTTTTATTGAGAATATTCTTATAACATTGTTTTGCGTGACCAAAGTAACTGTTTTCTGCAATCTGAGTTGTGGATTCTTGTAGTCTTTCAATTGCCCATATGACATAGATTCAGTTACATGGGAACCTAAATGTGAGCCAAAGCCTCAATAAAAAGTATTATGTTTCTGGTCTTTTGATGCAGTCTATGCTGCAACAACATTTCTTTCTTTTTTAAAAAAAGAAAAGAAAAAAGAAGAAGCTCATTGAATTGACACCCCAAAAGGCCTTATTATCTCCACACATACACAGACCAAGGCATCGTACATTGTGTGCAGTTTGTACGTTCATTTTTGGGGAAGCAGGTTAGAGTTACATGCCCTTGGCTGAAAACCACTGCGTTGGCGAAAATGATGCAAACAGGGACCAGAACCATAATATATTTTTAAATTTGAGCTAATATGTCCTTGTTGATTGTTTTCTTGCAAACGTGTTCCAACTTTGTATTGACTGTTTCTTGTGTAGCCTATTGCAGGTTAGTGTAGTGTTGCCAACTGAAGACCTGTCAAGTTCCAGGAGCTAGATGGTTAGGATGCTGGTGTGATTTTGTCCTGTTTCTTCAAATTGTTGACATTTGTTCCACCCTGGACATGAACGGGTGTATGTTGTGAATACCTTAATAAAGATGGATGGATGTTGTGTATACCTACATATGGATGGATGGATGTTGTGTATACCTTCATATGGATGGATGGATATTGTGTATACCTACATATGGATGGATGGATGTTGTGTATACCTTCATATGGATGGATGGATATTGTGTATACCTACATAAGGATGGATGGATGTGGTGTATACCTTCATATGGATGGATGGATGTTGTGTATACCTACATATGGATGGATGGATGTTGTGTATACCTACATATGGATGGGTGGATGTTGTGTATACCTACATATGGATGGATGTTGTGTATACCTTCATATGGATGGATGGATGTTGTGTATACCTTCATATGGATGGATGGATGTTGTGTATACCTACATATGGATGGATGGTGTGTATACCTTCATATGGATGGATGTTGTGTATACCTTCATATGGATGGATGTTGTGTATACCTACATATAAATGGATGTTGTGTATACCTACATATGGATGGATGTTGTGTATACCTTCATATGGATGGATGGATGTTGTGTATACCTTCATATGGATGGATGGATGTTGTGTATACCTACATATGGATGGATGTTGTGTATACCTTCATATGGATGGATGTTGTGTATACCTTCATATGGATGGATGGATGTTGTGTATACCTACATATGGATGGATGGTGTGTATACCTTCATATGGATGGATGTTGTGTATACCTTCATATGGATGGATGTTGTGTATACCTACATATAAATGGATGTTGTGTATACCTACATATGGATGGATGTTGTGTATACCTTCATATGGACGGATGGATGTTGTGTATACCTTCATATGGATGGATGGATGTTGTGTATACCTACATATGGATGGATGTTGTGTATACCTTCATATGGATGGATGGATGTTGTGTATACCTTCATATGGATCGATGGTGTGTATACCTTCATATGGATGGATGGATGGTGTGTATACCTTCATATGGATGGATGTTGTGTATACCTACATATGGATGGATGTTGTGTATACCTTCATATGGATGGATGGATGTTGTGTATACCTTCATATGGATGGATGTTGTGTATACCTTCATATGGATGGATGTTGTGTATACCTACATATGGATGGGTGGATGTTGTGAATACCTTCATATGGATGGATGGATGTTGTGTATACCTTCATATGGATGGATGTTGTGTATACCTACATATGGATGGGTGGATGTTGTGAATACCTTCATATGGATGGATGGATGTTGTGTATACCTTCATATGGATGGATGGATGTTGTGTATACCTTCATATGGATGGATGTTGTGTATACCTACATATTGATGGATATTGTGTATACCTACATATGGATGGATGGTGTGTATACCTACATATGGATGGATGGATGGATGTTGTGTATACCTACATATGGATGGATATTGTGTATACCTACATATGGATGGATATTGTGTATACCTACATATGGATGGATGTTGTGTATACCTACATATGGATGGATGGTGTGTATACCTACATATGGATGGATGGATGGATGTTGTGTATACCTACACATGGATGGATGTTGTGTATACCTACATATGGATGGATGGTGTGTATACCTACATATGGATGGATGGATGGATGTTGTGTATACCTACACATGGATGGATGTTGTGTATACCTACATATGGATGGATGTTATGTATACCTTCATGTGGATGAAAGGTGTGTATACCTACATATTGATGTATGTTGTGTATACCTTCATATGGATGGTTGTTGTGTATACCTACATATGGATGGATGGTGTGTATACCTACATATGGATGGATGGTGTGTATACCTACATATGGATGGATGGATGGAGTTGTGTGTACCTTCATATGGATGGATGTTGTGTATACCTACATATGGATGGATGGTGTGCATACCTACATATGGATGGATGGTGTGTGTACCTTCATGTGGATGGTGTGTATACCTACAAATGGATTGATAATGTGTATACCTACAAATGGATGGATAATGTGTATACCTACATATGGATGGATAGTGTGTATACCTACATATGGATAATGAGTATAGCTACATATGGATGGATGTTTTTTGCGTATACATGTATCTGCATATGGATGGATGGATGTTGGGTACCTACATTTGGATGAATGGATACATGGATGGTGTGTATCCCTACATTTGGATGGATGTTTTGAATTCCTACATACGTATGGATGGATGTTGTGTATACCTACATATGTATGTGTTTATGTTTTTTATACCTTCATAGCATATCTGGGATGTGTTCTTGTACCATCCCTGCTTCATAAGAGTTAAATGAAGAATTTAAGGCTTTAGTTCTACTAATTCAAAACATTTAATTACACATAAGTGACAGTGTCAGCTTTAACATCATTAATTTTCCAGGATTAGTTGAATTTATGAGGCAATCTTTTAGCATTTAAACCACTCAGCAATTTTGAGTGTTAGTGTTATGAAGTTAGCTTTCAAAAATGCATTGAATTTAAGTTAAGATGTATCTCAGCATAGAATCTCAATCTGATTTATTTATAAGGCACAACAAAAGTATCACACTTATGCTTAATATATGCAAATTTGACCATGTCATGTTACATCCTTCACATGTTAGGATTCACCTTGACCTTCTTTTCATTTTAAAAATGAAACGTGAGTGAGTGAGTATGGTTTTACGCTGCTTTTAGCAATATTCCAGCAATATCATGTCGGGGGACGCCAGAAATGGGCTTCAGCGAAACAAGCAAATGCTTTAACCACTAGTCTACCCGACCGCCCCTAAAAGTCAAACAAATTTTTTTATCTAGAACAACAGGACCCACGGGATTGTGCCACTTTCATCCATGTACTTTTATGTTTGTTACCCTAGGCCTGACCAATGTCCTTGTTATACAGTCCAACCTGATGTTTGCAAAAGTAACAAAGAAATTTGTGCTATGATTGAATGAAAACATGTTACTTTTGACATCCATTTGGGTTTTGCTTCTATTCATAGTTTTTTGTAGGAGATTAGCATAAATTAGCTCAGGCTTTAATCTTTGTAACATTTCCTTCATTATCTTAGCATTCTGTCAGAACTGTGTAGTGACAGTTTTGTCTGGCCTCATTGAAATATCAGTATACCATTAAGTGGGAAATATAGGTTTGGTGAAAAGGTTGTGTGTGTATCGGCTGAAGTGGTACATGGAACATGAAGTGGGATATGGTACATGCCAGGTGTTGGCATGATGTGTCCCTTGGTATATAGAAATAATGGCATTATGGATAAGGTGGGGTAAAAATCTAGTCTTAAAAATGATACTCTTGGTGTGCCTCTTATGCACATGTTATGTTCTTTAAAACAAAAATTATGGTCAAAATTGGCATTAATGATTTTTGGGATCTTTTTCAAATCATAACAACCTATCCAAATGTGCGCCTCAGTCTCTGAGAACTGAATCAACTATTCCTTCTGATTCTTGGTCTACAGTAGCCAGGTCAGGGGTGCATCAATGTCTTGGGGAGGAACTTGTTCATGAGTGCAAAACTGATCCTGCTGAAATAAGTTTAATCTAAAGTCAAATATTAAGTTATTCACTGTAGGATATGAACATAAACATCCAGATGACGGGTCAAAATATTTAGAAATGGGCCTTGTGGTGTGCTGCCAGTAAATGTTATGCTCAATAGTTTCCTCTAATTATATAGAGTAATGCACCTATTTAAAAGTCACAATATATAAGCAATAGTATTACAATATGATCAATACCTATTACCATGATAATGTCTGCAATGGAATTTTTTAAGATAAGCTTTGTTAAACTATTTCTGTATAATATGTCTAATTTTCATTGCTTTCAGAGTGAAATATACCAACATAGGCAATCAGCATGATCAGGTCTATCAGTGATAAGTGTTTTTGTTTGTTGGAGAGTGTGTTTTATATTCCTCTTGGTGGAAATGGTACCCACTTTATGATAAACTTTACCAATCAAAAGCAGGTAGTTTTATTATGGAGAAGAAAATATGTGAAATAACAAAATGTTTGATGTGAATGATAAAACAGACAATAATGTATTCATTAACAAAACTGACAATTCATTATACGAGTCACTGGAGAAGGAATGCCATATTGACAGTATGTCTTATTGTTGTATGATTAAGACTTCTGGGACTTGTTTAGCCTGGACAATAACTGTTAGTGTTCCTTCCATGTACAAGGCCACCCATCCTATCTCTGTCAGCTGTTATAGTCTAATGTGTGTGTTGGTGTATATATTTGTTACACAACATGATTGAAGAGTGTGGACAACAGTTGTCAAAGAGAAATCCTGAAATAATAAACAAAAGTATCATCCTTAACTCTGGTTGTGTTTTCTGTGTGTGAACACTCCATCTGTTCCAGGAACAGAGCCATCTCTGTGTCTCTTTTTACTGAATGATATATGAGTCAAGCACAGTGTAGTGTTTTCTGTAGATGGATGCTCAATCTGTTCCAGGGACAGAGCCATCTCTGTGTTTGTTGTACTGAATGATACATGAGTCAAGCACAGTGAAGTGTTTTCTTTAGATGGATGCTCAATCTGTTCCAGGGACAGAGCCATCTCTGTGTTTGTTGTACTGAATGATACACGAGTCGGCACAATGTAATGTTTTCTGTGTGTGAACACTCCACCTGTTCCAGGAACAGAGCCATCTCTGTGTCTGTTGTACTGAATGATACACGATTCGGCACAGTGTAATGTTTTCTGTGTGTGAACACTCCACCTGTTCCAGGAACAGAGCCATCTCTGTGTCTGTTGTACTGAATGATATATGAGTCAAGCACAGTGTAGTGTTTTCTGTAGATGGATGCTCAATCTGTTACATGGACAGAGCCATCTGTGTCTGTTGTACTGAATGATACATTAGTCAAGCACAGCGTAGTGTTTTCCGTAGATGGATGCTCAATCTGTTCCAGGAACAGAGCCATCTCTGTGTCTGTTGTACTGAATGATACATGAGTCAAGCACAATGTCCAGAATGATACACAATTCAAGTAAAATGGACATAATGATACACAAGCCAAGCACAATGAACTGAAAGATACACTAGTCAAGTACAATGTACTGAAAGATACACAAGTCAAGCACAATGTTGTACAAAATATATCATATACAATATTGTTCAGAATGATGCACAAGTCAATCACAATGTACAGAATGCTACACAAGTCAAGCAAAATGTTTTACAGGATGACACACAAGTCAAGTACAATGTTGTACAAAATCATACACAATATTGTTCAGAATGATGCACATGTCAAACACAATATACAGAATGATACACAAATCAAGCACAATGTACGGAGTGATACACAAGTCAAGCACAATGTTGTACAGAATAATACACAAGTCCAGCACAATGTACAGAATTATACACATGTCAAGTACAATGTTGTACAGAATGATACACAAGTCAAACACAATGTACAGAATGATACACAAGTCAAGCACAATGTACAGAATGACACAAGTCAAGTACAATGGTGTACAGAATGATCCACAAGTCAAGCACAATGTTGCACAGAATGATACTCAAGTCAAGTACAATGTACAGAATGACCCACAAGTCAAGCACAATGTTGTACAGAATAATACACAAGTCCAGCACAATGTACAGAATGATACTTAGGTAAAGTACAATGTACAGAATGATACACAAGTCAAGGAAAATGTTGCACAGAATGATCTACAAGTCAAGCACAATGAAAAAAATGACACACAAGTCAAATACAATGTTGTACATAATGATCCACAAGTCAAGCACAATGTACAGAATGACACACAAGTGAAGCAAACTGTTGTACAGAATGATCCACAAGTCAAGCACAATGAACAGAATGACACACAAGTCAAATACAATGTACAAAATGCTATTCATGTCAAGTAGAATGTACAGAATGATACACAAGTCAAGCACTATGTATAAAATGATACGCAAGTCAAGCACAATGTTGTACAGAATGATACACAAGTCAAGCACAATGAACAGAATGACACACACGTCAAGTACAATGTTGTACAGAATGATCCACAAGTCAAGCACAATGAAAAAAATGACACACAAGTCAAATACAATGTTGTACATAATGATCCACAAGTCAAGCACAATGTACAGAATGACACACAAGTGAAGCAAACTGTTGTACAGAATGATCCACAAGTCAAGCACAATGAACAGAATGACACACAAGTCAAATACAATGTTGTACAGAATGACACACAAGTGAAGAACACTGTTGTACAGAATGATCCACAACTCAAGTCCAATGTTGTACAGAATGATACACAAGTCAAGCACAATGTACAGAATGACACACAAGTGAAGCACACTGTTGTACAGAATGATCTACAAGTCAAGCACTATGTACAGAATGATACGCAAGTCAAGTACAATGATGTACAGAATAATACACAAGTGAAGCACACTGTTGCACAGAATGATCCACAAGTGAAGTATAATGTTGTAAAGAATAATACACAAGTCCAGCACAATGTACAGAATGATACATAGGTAAAGTACAATGTACAGAATGATACACAAGTCAAGGAAAATGTTGCACAGAATGATCCACAAGTCAAGCACAAAGTTGTACAGAATGATATACAAGTCAAGCACAATGTTTGCAAAGTGATACACAAGTCAAGCACAATGTTGTACAGAATGCTATTCATGTCAAGTAGAATGTACAGAATGATACACAAGTCAAGCACAATGTTGTACAAAATGATACGCAAGTCAAGCACAATGTTGTACAGAATGATACACAAGTCAAGCACAATGAATAGAATGACACACAAGTCAAGTACAATGTTGTACAGAATGATACACAAGTCAAGCACAATGAACAAAATTACACACAAGTCAAATACAATGTTGTACAGAATGATCCACAAGTCAAGCACAATGTACAGAATGACACACAAGTGAAGCACACTGTTGCACAGAATGATCCACAAGTGAAGTATAATGTTGTACAGAATGATACACAAGTCAAGCACAATGTTGTACTGAATGATACACAAGTGTTTTCTGTATATGGACGCTTAATCTGGTCCAGGAACAGCCACCATCATGCCTTGCACAGAAGTATAATAGTAAACAACGCAATTGAGGTACTGCTGTCTTATTGGGATGAGTACATCTTCCAGCACGATGTTTGAAGCCTCACATGTCCGTAATTTGCTGGGTGGATTGCTAGCGGCTTTGTTTGAGAGTTGAAGAAGGTCTAGTGTCCATTTTCAGTATAGGTCTAGACAGAAGGAGTTCTTTGAGTGAAACTGCATCAATATCTCATGTAAGTAGAGCAGTCATTAACTGTCAGGATGATGTACTTGACAATGAATGTGTAGACAAAGTGGCGTTATCTTGCTGTTATGGTATGACTGCTGCAACATATGGTTTTGATTGCAGTACTCGGGTGGTCCTTCGGTATAATATATCTTCGGTATATAACTCGACCTATGTTCAACATAAAATATCATTAAAATTACCTTCTTTTACCTCTTAGATCCTTTACAACCTTACAGCTAAAACATACAGCACCAAACATGTTGAAGACCTGTCGTGTATAACTAAAACACGCCATGGCATTGAATGTAGCCTTTGTGGATTGATTTATGCTGGAGAGACACGACAAAAATTATCGACTCGAGTCTGTCAGCATAGATCAGGCATCAACAGTGTTTCAAATTGTGTCCACCAACATTTTAATTCTGAAATCTCAATCTGGTTCTTAATCCATTCCTTTTCAAGGAGATTTTCCATCAAATAGCCTTAAATGCAGTCCAGAGAAAATCATTTGATTCGACTGTTGTGTACAGAAATGCCATATGTAATGACAACATAAAAGACGTTGGCAGTCTCTCTAAGTAACGAACTGCCAACGTCAATGTATTGAGCCTGCTTCTGGCACCCCAAAGACGTCGGCGCAGCCATGGTGACAAGAACGGACGAAGTTCAAATTATACTTTTCATTTGGACGATTTGTTACCTCTCCTCTTGGCAGCTCTTGGTGTAAATGCCACTACCAAGACTCATCATACTGCTACTAACCGTTTGGTGATATAATGTTAAGGGAATTCTCTATTGTTGACAAGAACAACCTTCGTCAGCTGTTCAAATATGAGCCAAAATATAACGAGCAGCCCCCTACCAATAGGGATCATATCTATAAAATTATCATAGATGCTGTCGAAGCATTTGCCAAAATACGGGCCAGCAGAGCAGAGGAATCCATTGAAAGTCTGACAGAGTGCGTGATGTTGTCATTGGTAGAATGCACCAACTGAAAAAGAAGAAACAGAAGATTAATGTCCATTCCTCTTTTGTACTGGATTCCAAAAGTTCCATAAAAATCTGCGCAAAGAGACATACTCTACTCAAAAGAAGTTAAAGAACACCCGATTAATTTCATAAGGCAAAACCTAATCTGTCCTTGCTGGGTGCGATTGCAACACACAGCCTTAAAAATTGTGGATGTTCATTAAACTTGTTTTGAATTGTATATATTGCTGGGTCCAGCAAATGTACCACCAAATCTATGTCTCGAAGAATAACCATAATCCTTAATACCAAGGAAGGACTTCCTGGGCTTAATACCATGTGGATACTCAAAAACTCAATTTCCATTGATTTACTTCAATTCTTGTATCTCAGAAAAGAACCAACTTTGTACACCATTAACTCACGTGACAAACCCAAAACAACACTTCATTCCTTGATCCATGAGGCATTTGTTACTTAACGTGGTGACCATAGATAAAGTTACATCTCTACCTTCTGTCAGAGGTTCGGTACAATTTGTCAAAAATGGAAGCAAATGAAAACACTATGTGAAAAGATGGACTTCCTCATTGATGGCATCTATGTAAAAAGTGGGGGTACATTTAGGCAAGAGGTAGCCATCACCAAGGGCACCCATTGTGCTCCCTTCTTGCTGAACTGTTTCATTATGCATGTGGATCGACATTTCTGCTCCGATTGGCGAAGTTAAACCAAGGGAATTTTGGCCAAGAAGTTTGATGTGATATCGTTCAATAAAACGGCCAAACTCCCTTCCACTGATTTACCCACCAATCCTGTATGCTCTTTCCGTGAAGATTTCAAAGGGCGTCATGCGACTCTTGCTGAAAAGTTGTTTGATCAAGGAAACAACATTCATTAAGAAAAGCTTTCAAAATGTTTTAAGGTAGATCTGTAAAGGACATTTCCAAATTTGACGCATCAGTGAAAAATGATGTTGGTTGCAATTGCCTATTTTGACTTGTACCACATGTTTAGTTGAATAAATGCCCTTGCATGTGCTTGTGACGGGTGTC